TTTCAGCAATTACTTTGTGCTTGATATTTTAGAAGCTATGAAAAACAAGAAAAAGAAACAAAGATACATGCTAACTTTGAAGAATTAATGAAAGCAAAATATATACTGTACACTATTTTCTATGCTTTTTAAACCTCAGCTTCATAAATATTCTCTGGAGTATTCTGACAGTTTTTGCCCCTATTTAATTAATAAAAACAGGGCAATTCTAACACAAGAAAACCTGGTTACAGCTATAACCCAGTGGGCTTGGAGACTAAACTAAAGCTAGCGAATCACTCCACAATAGTATTCTAAGCTGAGAGCAGACAGGAATCCCCTGAAGAAGCAGGAGCCCAGAATCTCTACTCAGACCTACTGAGATCAATCACATCATGGGGACCAGGACTGCAATTCCATGCTTTCTAAGCCTGCCAGGTAACTAACGCACAGCCGGGACCCATTTGCAACCAGCTGGACTTTCCAGACCTCTTCATGTTCAATTTCAAATCATTAAAGAGCTAATCTTTCCATTTCTCAACAAATGTCCATTAGTCTCTTACTTGAATGTCAATGCAAAAACAGAGCCTCTGCTGTCGTTGCAAATTGCAAGAGTTGGATCATCTGTAAACTAAACAGAGAAGGAATTTATGTTCTTAAAAATTTAAGCAAACGGGCAAGTGTTAAGTAGATCATGGGAGGGAAAAACCATAAATTTTTGAAAATCTACAACATACACATTTAGCATCTGAAATAACCCAGTTTAGCACCTCACTTTAAGCATACAAAATTGTCCTTCTGATAAAATTATCTCAGTATCTTTTAGGAAAAATACTGAGGCTTTCAAAAAGTAAAACAGGGCTGGTGAGATGGCTCAGCAGGTAAAGGCGCTCATTGCCATCCCCAGGACCCACATGGTGTAAGGAGAGAACAGACCACAAGTTGTCCTCTGACCCCCACATGCTCACCATAGCATGTGCCACTGCCCACAAAATGCGCACAATATATAAGTAAATGTTTTTAAAAAGTAGAACAAGCTTTGATCCAGATTAAAGAAAAATACTAACTATGGTTAATAAAAACCGCAAAATTCTTACCTGGGATATTACATTAAGATTTTACGATAAACAAAAAGGATCATTTGGATACATTTGAAGTTGACTAGTTTTTAAGAATGAAGACATACACAGTAAAAATTTTTTGCTATCTTGGGAAAATAAATGTGTTTGAATAAGTTTTCTGAGTAACTGAAGAGTTAATCCACTATAAATCAACTTTTATATAACTCTCCCTAAAATGTGCTCTCTTTGATCATTTTAATAGATAGACTATTACCAATTATATATTATATTGTTATATAATACTACCCAACATGGAAAACTCAGAATAATAATTTGCATAATATCATAGTCATAGGCCAGGTACAGTGGCACATGACTTTAATCCCAGCACTCAGGAGGCAAGGGCAAGCAGATCTCTGTAAGTTCAAGGCCAGCCTGGTCTACATATAGAGCTGCAGCTGGAGGTACAGGGAAATCCTGTCTCCAAAAAAAAATAAAAAAACCCAAAACCCACATAGTCATAATCATAAGGTCATATGAGGTACAGTAAATGCTACAGGACATAAAAGGAAATAATGAAATTTGTGTTGATTCACAAAACCCCAAAATTGGTGAGCCATTCTGAATGCAGCCTTTTTTCCTAAAGTGGGCTGAGATACAAAAGCCACTGTAAACTTCTTCCTCAATCTCCCACACAAACATAACCAGGAAGTGCCCCACGTCTGTTGTCAAAGCCCAGAGGAGCAGCTATCAAATGGAGACCATGTATATCCATGGATATGCATGAGGCAGGCCACTACAGCACAGAAAAAGTAAGAGAATGGGCCAGGCCTGGTGGCACACGCCTTTAATCCCAGTACTTGGGAGGCAGAGGCAGGCGGATCTCTGTGAATTCAAGGCCAGCCTGGTCTACATAGTGAGTTAAACAAAAAAACTGCCACAAAACTGCACTGTGCTTCAGGACATCAGCCCAGAGGAACTAACCTGGGGAAGTCAGAGACCCGACGCAGTGTGCCTGCATGTATGTGGGTGCACTCGTGTCATGCAATGCCACGGAGGTCAGAGGAGGGCTTCAGATTCCCCTGGAACTGGAGTTAAGGAAAGTCCGTAGCTGCCATGTGGGTGCTGGCAATTGAACCGGGGTCCTCTGCAACATAAGGTAGTGTCTTTCTCACTACCATATTGTCCTTTTTGATTTCTAACGTGACACTTTGGATATTTCGTTTACTTGTGTTTATTGCCAAACTTTTTTCCTTGAATTTAAGTTTCATGAGAAGATAGCTCTGTTTAGCCAGGACAGCTGCAGTACCCTCAGATCCTGACATCCAGTAAGTATTTCTTGAAGGAATCAACAAATGCTGCAAGTAAAAAATAAAGTAAGGATCAAAAAGTATTATTCAGGGGCTAGGAAGATAGCCTCAGTCAGTAAAGTCGTTGCCACCCAACATAAGGACCTGAATTTGATTCCCACTACCCATGTAAAAACCCAGGTGTGGTGGTACATGCTTGTAATCCCAGCCCTGGTGGGG